CCGCTGGTGCATACACACATACAAAAGATACCCGCTGTCCCATCCACCACCCATCCACGCGCAATACTCTTCCCCCCCCCCCCCCCTCACTTCTTAGCAACACAAACGGGCTTGCCTCCCTGATCAATATACCCACACCACCTTTCAGACGTGCAGATGGCAGAGTCATGACCTGAAACCCCTCCACCTCGAGCACTCTTCCCTCCTTGAAATTGTGTTCTTGCAGGAACACTACATCCACCCTGTATTTATACAGAAACATTTTGAAACCATTCCTTTCTTCACACTATTACACAGTCCATTTACGTTCACAGTCATACACCTAAGGCCTCTTTATAGTTTCCAACCCTTCCTCCTCTCTTCATTCATCCCAGGGCCTCCTGCCCCAGAGCCAGCACAAGGCTTCACACCATCAACCCCTCCCCCTTTTTTGCGATGCCTCTTATCGTGACTGCTTCGACGTTGCTCTTCCTTCCACCCAGACCTCTGCGCCGGCGTCAGGACATCATCTGAGTCTGACGCCGCCGCTCTCTTCCTCGTGATGCCCTCTACATCCATGTTATCTTCTGAGGTTCCCTCACGATGAACCTCAACCTCCACCACGCCCCGTTCCACAGCACACGGCGACAACTCTCTCTTACTAGTTGGCCGTCAACCCTGCTATGTTTTTTATCCTTACATTCCTCTACAGGCACCGCCGTGTCTCTCACCAGCTCAGGAACAACATCCTCTGCAGGCGGTGTCAATGTCCTTAACACCTCCTGAAGCTCTTCCTCTAGAGCCTGCACCTCCTCCTGCACTTGCACTTCTGTACTTGTCCTTTGTGTAGTAACAGATCCTTTTACATCACAGCTTACCTCACACATGCCATTCTCCTCTTTGGAATCCCCACCTCTTCACATCCACAAGCGCCCAGGCCCTTGCTTGCGCACTGGGCTCTCAACAGCTATCACGCTGGTAACTGGTGGGTTCACCAGTTTGCGCTGGCGCCCTCCTCAGCTTCACGCACTCTGCCCGCCATATGGTCGTACGCCCCACATATTCTGCACGTACGTCTCTGTCCGGCATACGATACCATAACTTGCGTCCTGAAGTCCTCCAACACGACGTAAGACGGTAATGGGATGTCTCAGAGTCATCTTCAGGGAAAAGGTACCCTCCGTGACGTCCATGTAAGCACCTGCCGTCCACTTGCCCTTTTGTGCCAGATGTACGGTTCCATAGCTCAAAAAACACTCCCTTATGTCAGCCTCATCTGCCTCAAATGGGACATTACGTATCTTAACCCACGTAAAGTGGCGTAGATACGTCGATCAAACGCACCTTCACAGCTGGAGTAGCGTCAAGACTCACGTCTTGGAACCTCGTCACCAAAGACTCATACACGGACGTGGAATTCAGTTTGACGAAGATTCTATAAGCCCCATTCAGGGCTACACCATACACCTCATCGTCCTGGATTCCATAGGTCTCCCTAATGATTGTCGGGAGTAAGACTTGCACTGAAGAGGGTGAAATCGCCCCACGAAGCAGCTCAATACCAATGGTATTTACGCGCCTCCTCACACTCAGCGCCATGTTGATACAAGGTAGCTCGCCTGAACAGCAGAGGGGTGCAGCGCACAACCTCACTCGACCGTGGTCAGGCAGCGAATCAACCTATATATCCTTATATAATTCTGCCATGTTAAAAACGTTGATATTTTGATCTGACTTAAATATTTTTTGCTTCATAATGGCTGGAAAAAAGTTCCATTTTATTTTGGGAGGAATGTCTGTCTGCATAATAAATTTGAAAAAAAAAATACATATATGGGTTTAAGTAAAAC